GTAAATTTGGCAGGGGTCAGTAATGAGGCTGACGATGGGCTACACTTGTGGAGAAAGCTAGCAGAGAAGATCAAGTTGCCCTCGGAGGTTAGAGGTAGTCATGAAAGTTCAGCAATACACTCTACAGTGTTAAATGTATAATGGACTCTGTTGATGTCTTCTGGCCAGAACAGATTCCAATGAAGGTCAGCAACTGCAGTTTTGGAAGGTTTGCTCTGATTATTTGAGGAGAATGGACCAACTAGACAGCTATTGTAATATAATTTTCACTTCTCATATCAGAATTTAGCATTTTCTCAAATACTGTTACATATGTTATTTATTAAACCTTCCATGACATTTATGAACCTAAAGTTCATGTTTCGCACAAATTAATCTACTTTTTTACTTCTCTATAATACAATAAACCACAGTACAGATATGTCCTGAAGGTAGTTCCAAGATGAGCAAACCTTAATTTAGCTACATAAAAGATTAATCATTTCATGCAAGTCAATAAAAAGTGAATGATCTCAGTACTAAACCCTCCAGTTTGTTGGCTGTGGGCAACCTCTTGATTGACAAACTGGCAGCCTACATGAAGAATGGGGGCGAAGGCTCATCCATGAGACTTAGGGGGCCTCGCCTGACTTTCCATATCCCAGCTCATTCTAGAAGAAAACAGAGTAACTGGGGGGTTTTTTCCAGATCCAAGGATCCACAAAAGAACCAAAGCCAAATGGTGTACAGGAATGACGCCAGTGTAACTCTTCCCACATCTGGAAGGGATGGACCTACTTCCACAGCCCTTCTTTTCCCAGTGGCCTTCACTGCAAAGTTACAAAGACCTCCACACGAGTTCGGCATGGAAGACCCAGGCTGATAGACATTTCTTCACTGCTGGGAAACTGGAGGACTAGAGAATATACATTTAAGGTTTACAATATTCAGGTCATCACGTTAACCCACCTGAAGATGTGAATCGCAGTTTCTTCAGAGATGCTGGCTGATAGTGGGGGATTGGCGTGAGTGAATTGCTGCTCTCCCACAATTAAACATCTAATAAACCGTGTTGAAAATGTCTTTGGCTTCTCTACATCCATTCCTACATCGCACTACTCATATAAGCGACAGACCCTCGGATCTGGCGAGCCCTGCTGCCTGTGTCAGAACAGGATCTGATTCCTGACAGTCTTTGCACTGTTAATCGTTGTGAATTGTGTATTTGGGATGAATGAAGTATCTATGTCCCCACCTACTATATACACATATAAACGGCAGCTCCATGAGTGCGCTTTGCTGATACGACCACGAGTGACACGTACCTGTCAGCGATGTACAGGCCCTGGGCAATTCTAAGCAGCACAGCTGAGTCTAACAAAATACACAGACCCACACAATTGATATCATTTTCCATCTTTTTCATTCATTATATTTACCCGTCTTCATATGACGATATACTTCTGGGTAGAGCATATGTGTAATATGATACATATATCACATAATTTTGATAAAAGGAATACGATAGAGTCCTACAGTTGCCACATTCAGCCACCAACGCTGAAAGTTCAGAAGTGAGTTTGACCCAGCTGGTTTTTTTCGTCATGATCTTCCAAATTCCTTGATATGATGCTCGGCTATGCAGGGATCAGGGTGAGGTGAAGAACACACTTCCTGCACTACACTGACAAATCACTGATTCTCAGAAGCCTTCTTGGACGTCCATATATTCTCTGAGGGATCTGTGATGGGTAGGGCTTCCATGTGGAACAGTCTACGATGGCACCAGCGACAGAGCTTTCTGCTCTACTTCACACCAGCATGGACTGGAAGGCTCCCAAGAGGAGGACTGGGAAATCTGCATGGCTAAGCACAAATTATCTCCCTCGCTGAGAGGTACCTTCTTAGGGTGCTTACTACAATGTCCCAAACACATGTAGCCTGAATATTACACCAAACTCATCAGATCTAAGAAACTGATGTAGAGCTAATGCTATGTTGCATATATTTGAATCAGAACTTGTTTTTAAAGTCAATCTTTCATACTTTAAGCACTGATGCTCTACCTACTGCACAATGTTAAGCCATGCCTGATACTGCATTTGTTGAACAAAATGAGTTTCAGAGTGAATCATCTTGCATGAAAAGCACAAATGATTGTGGGTCTCCTCTTGCTGATATGAAGTGTAACAATGTAACAATGGTATTAAGACAATATCAGGCAAAACTACTGGCAGGAGTTACAGGCCTTATACTGTATAGATTTCCATCAAAATTAACGCAAATTCCAATTGATAAACAGCTGCTTTTTTATCTATTACTAGCATGAGCTTTACCACACATGCCAGGCTGATATCCAAAGTATGTTTACCTGCTGAACATGACAAAAAAATAAATAAACCATTACACTGTTAAGTACAGGTCATGCACAAAAACAACAAGCAGAGAAACAAAGCCATGGGCCCTCAGGGCTGAGGTTAATACTTACAAACACTCAGACAATAGAAACGCTTGGCTGCCAATGGCACATCGGTTACAAACGTGCACATCAACTGACAATTTGTACTTATAAATGGCTGTGACAGAGGCAAGCAAATGACGTGATTGAGATTCATGGGTCAACACTTTAAAACAAGGATGAAGTAAACAAGGAAGATACAGAGACACTGGATTCAGAGAATGGATGCTAAAAATTTGAGCAACACTGCCACCTATTGACCATTTCATCAATGTGCACTGTAATGCACAGCTCAGGAGTGTCAAACTAATTTTGGTTAATGGGCCACGTCAGACCAAATCCAATTTCAAGGGCGCCGGACCGAGAAAATCTATATGTAGTAGGATAATAATGCATTACCAACACCTTTGACATTTATTTTTGCTTATTTATGTATGAAGCGAGGTACATTCTGAATGCACAAACTGGTTGACTATAAGTCACCTGCAAATGATGAACAATCAATGGTTTTCCCGATATAGCCTACCCTCACAATGGAACATCACTGGTGTTTATCAAAACGCGATTACCAGCATAATGTTACAATGACGGTATCTGCTAACAAACCATGACAGTTGAGAGTAGGGCTGCACGATTCTGACAAAAAAAATGTGAATCGTGATTTTTTTTTTGCTTAGAATTGAGATCACAATTCTCCGCAAATTTTTTACTTCAATTTAAACGTTTCTTGCACTCATGACTGTGCCAAACATATGATTGATCCAGGATCAGCATAACAAGAAATAAAGTATTTTGTATAATATACTAGGACAACACGGTATTGGGAAATTTCTAAGTATTGCAATGTGATTTTGTTATAATAAATATTGGGGCATTTATAAAGCAAAAAAGGAGCTCAACTAATTTCTCAAAACCCTGTCTAGGAGGGATTTAAAAAGCATTGGTGTAAATTTTTATTATCTCTGATAAAGCATGAATCGCTCAAGCAAAAGCAGCGGAGGTAAACTTTAAACTGATTTTTAAACACATACTAGATAATCTTGAAAAGGAATAATAATTACGACTGCAAAACTTCATAATTTTTCCAATGACAGAGTAAAAATGTTTCAGCCAAAATTAAACTCCCTGCGTATACTGTACATTACTGAGTGTAAAAAAAAAAAAAAAAAAAAAAAAAAAAAAAAAAACTTCTCTTAATTTAGCTGAATGGCTTAGTAAGAATTGCACATGGACAACATGCGATGTTGATATTAATATCTCACATCAGCCAGTGCTATAATATACTACAGTCATTTTTCGAATTCAGTACAAAATACCCCGCTTCCAGCTGTGATGTCATTCGGCACCGGTTCCGATTTTTACGCCAGTGGAAACACTTTGAAGTACCACACTCTTGGTACTTTTTTTGAAGTACCAAAAGGAAGGTAACTGGTGCGGTGAGATAAACGCCCTAGGATTCACTGGCCACCATTAAACCAGACATGCAGAATTATGGAAGCGCTTGTTTTGATCCAGCTGTTATAATACAATACAGAAGGACCATTGTAACTTAGAATCGAGATCGTGGTTTTTTAACGATTAATTGTGCAGCCCAAGTCGCTAGGCTGATCTTCGCCATCACCTTAATGCGGCTTAGTGTCCCTAACCAACAATCACATTTCTCTGACCTCTCCAAGGTATAAACTACGTTCTACTATTAAGCAAAAAAAATCCAAAAACTAATATTCACATTAAACATTTTCCGCTTCATAAAACCCATTAGTGTCACAGCGGCACCCAATACTATACTGTCAGTACTTTAGCGCCCCCAAGTGGAAACTGGGAATAATATGTTTTTCACTTAAAAAAAATTAACTATTTCTTTTTCCCCTAAATCAAAGCGCCGTACTTTAAAATCATTTTGCGGGCAGATTAGATACTTTGATAAGGCCGGTTCCGATCCAGTGCTCTACATCAGTAAATCCATTCATTTCCATATGGATGCAATAATTTCCTCACAATGTTTGCAAAACCATACAACAACAACTAGAAAATTATGCTGCATTCCCACACTAATGAAACCTCACTGATTTTTCCACCTGAAGTTCATATGAATGAGGCTATGAAAAGCAGTTGTGTAATGGACAGATATTTCTGGTAACTGACCTCTCCTTTAGTATTTGCATTGTTTCATACATTTTATTTTTTTTTTTACTTTTTTTTTACTTTCTTTGCTGTAATTTTTATCCTCCTCATATGGATATACCTGCTGCTGGACCAAACCAACTCCCCCAAGGGGATAAATAAAGTCAAAAGTCAGTCACCTAATTACTTTGAAGCAGTTTATACTTGTCATGGGTATAAAATATTTGTATGAAAACCATATTTTTTTGTATTATTATTAGATGCCATCAAGTTGACATCAACTATCTTAATAACCTTAAAACTTCCTGTTAATACATCTCCAGAACATCCTGTCCTATGTGCAGGTCTTCAGGCTCCCAAGTCAGAAACAATCTCTGCACTCCTACGGATAGGGGTACTCCTGAATTATTGTGTAACAGTTAGGCAAATCTGCCTCAGATATTTAAAAATGCCCCGTTTATTGTTAACAAATCATGTAAACATATCAGAATGCATCCAGTTAAGAAAACCAAAATATTTTATATTTATTTGAACAAAAAAGGGGAAACATCTTTTCAGTAAATGAATTTAAGAAAAACTAATTTCCAAATGAAAAAATAAGACTTTCAGCAGTTGACAAAGTACAGGTACACTCACTAAACATTGCCGTCATTGTTCTGAAAGGACCAGTGGGTATGCATACTTAGATTTATTGGCTACAGTGAATATTTCAAGAACCAAACCTGTATAACGGCTAGCAAAAGATCTCTGGATAGACTATACAAAGAGAAATAGAGAGACGAGTCATTTGTCAAAGCCTTCGGGAAATCAAGGGTCCATTTCAACCATAAAGGGCATTACTTGTAGCAAGAGACAATTTCACATGTTGGAACCTGACCAAACCCATCAGCACAGAACCTCGAGTCCCGTCGACACCTCCACATACCTGATTTTCACATTCATATTCCAGGTGTTCACAAATATATCTCGATTCGCATTAAATGAAATTAAGACGTATGAGGACAGTAGCATTTGGAATAAAACGTTTCTGTAATCAATCGCAACCAAGTTAAGATGAAAAAAAATTAACATTAACTTTTTGATCCGAGTCAGACTTCAGACAAGCGATACAAGTTAACATTAAAGGAATCTGAATGATTAATGATTCATTGTTTCAGTTTAGATGCTGTCAATAGCAGTATCAGCAAGATTCATTACATTGGCATCACTTAGGGCTAAAATTAGGATACAAGACACTTCGGGTGGGTGGATGTGTGAAAGGTTCGCCACGTTAGCTTGGGCACCTTCTTTTGTAACTAATTTGGCACAAAAGAATGAATCTCAGACTGGACCACCACTTCTTCCTACAATTACATGCTTAGTGGAACAGTCTCCACAGAGAGATCAACAGGACGCTAAATGCATTGCATCACAAAAGCAGGATCTACTTAAGTTAAGTGTGCAAAAAGCAGGTAAAGGCTTCACTCCATAATCACTGAAGTGTCTATTTGATTCACTGCCCACCTTTAAACCAGACAGCTTCATAAACACAGGATTTCTAAAACCTTGATACGCAAACAGCAGAGAGCTGTGAGCAGGCATGTTGAAGCGGAACCTCAGAGCATGAAAACATGTCAGGTTAGGGCCGATTGCTAAGTTAATGACGAACAGCTTTGTTACGGAGAAACATACAAGTTGCCTTTTTATTACATCATTCATTTTCATTCAGTGACTTTGCTGGCAGTCAGGGGCAGCTTCATAATTAAGGACGATCCATAATTTAAGGCACGGGTGAGGAGGGGGGCGGGCAGAGTATAACGGCACAAATCCTGCCTGTACACTCCTGCCTTCCAGGATCAGGGCCTAAAATAGGCTCACTGTTGCTTCCCTAGTCACCATTAACTAATCCAGTGTTTCCCAATCCGACAATCCCACAGAGAGTCCATGTTTTTTGCTTGGAGGGAGCTTGGAGGGAACAAAAATGTGGACTGTCTGGTAGGGAGCTTGGAGGGAGCAAAAAAATGGACTGAATGCGAGTCACAGAGGACCGGATCGGGAAACACTGAACTAAACGCTGGTCTAACACAGAGAAAACACAGCAAATGCTGCAGTGAAAACTCCCAGGGATTCGAAGGCCGATATAGAGCAACAAGGAGGCAGCAGGTAAAACTGTGGATACAAACCCAATATACTGAAAGCCAAATGCCCCCGGGGACCCTGTGGGTCCTCCCACAAACTACACACTAAACCCTGAGATGCTTCCATAAAACACCCAGTCCTGTGGGCCTGTAGGGTTTAAAATGCGTACGAAGGTTCCTTTAGAGAGCACATCTTATAAGCAGCTAAGTAACATCAATAAATATGAAGTAATAAGACACTAACGTTTCAGCGTTCGGCTGCTAGCAGGCATGAAATTCACCCCCCTTCCCCAAACCACACATCCGACGAGGATCAGTTCCAGATGTCATCTTTACTCTTCCCGTAAAATCAGGTCACATGACAAGCAGGGAAATCGCCCCCTCCTTGCAGAGCGGGTAGAAACATCTCTGGCCGACACGGAGCAGCATACTCCGCAGGGCAAATGAGTTCCCGGGTGGGCTTCCTCGGAGAGGCGGGCGCCGGATCAGGTGGGCACCTTGCCCTTATTCCTGTCGATGCCTCTGTGCTCAGGCACGTGCTTGAAGATGCAGTTCTTCAGATGGCAGCCTTTGCTTCTCCACAGGAAACACTCCCCAGTAGATTTTAGCCTGCCCAGATGAATAAGCACAACCAAGAATCTGCATGCGCTTCCACAAAAACGCCCGTTTCACAAGAATGACTTTTGGCAATGAGATTAATTGTCTGCTGCATCATCAACAAGCGTTTAAGACTTTAGCCTTTGCTGAAGTTCAGGAGCCTTTCGGCTCATGTCGCAGAAGATTAATTTGCAGGTGCAGCCACCGAATTGCTTACAGGAAAAAGTAGGACGTCGGCAGGTTGCTTCTAGCTCTCAGGATGCCTTCAGGGCACAAGGGGAAGTGCACTTTGGTTGTGAGCCACAGGGATTTAAGATCCCCGGTAAATTAATCATCCAGAAGCAAGTAAGAAGGTGATCCTGGAATCTAACGCTGCATGAATGAGCTCACTGTGAGCGAATGGAGCTACAGAACAGAATGACTGCATGTCTCTATTAACAGTACCAACAATCCATCCACCCAGCCACTCATCCATCCATCCATCCATCCCTCAACTAATCACTCATCCTAGTCGGAGTCACAGGGTTAACAGAACCAGTGGGAATACATTACCCAGTTAGGTAAACCTGAGAGGCACAGGCTAATGAGTTAATAACAGGGACCCTGAGTCACAAAGACAGCCCACTCCCAGGACTGCTACTCACCCCGATGGAGAGAGGATATCACCAGCCGTCACTGCCGCCTTGGACCCGCCGAGGTGCGAGTGGATGCGGTCAGGGTAGCGGACAGTCAGCTGGATCCCTTCCACCGCCATGGCCTGCGGTTCGGGAGGGAATACACGGCACGGATTACCGGGACGCTCGGGCGTCAAGAAAATACACCACGGGCAAAATGCTGAGTCACAACTGACACAACTACACAGAAACTTACTCAATCATTTTTCCTCATTCTTTATAACCCCCTGTGCTAATTACCACATAGCTGTTGAGCGGAATCATTTGTGGTGGAACAGGGAAAGAACTAAGCTACACAGGGCTGCGGCCCCCCAGGACTGCAGTTTGACACCCCTGCTCTAGTGGAATCACCAAAGAGCAATATGCCTCCTACAAATGCCACGATTAACTGATACACTCACTGCCAAAGCACTGCCAGCTGGAAGATCACACTGCATCCTCCTGAGGCTGGGAAATGCATTACCTGTGTGTCTCACACCACTGCAGGGTCGGTAGGTTTTAGAAACAGTAGGTGGACTGCAGTTCCAGAACGGAACCAAAGCGGGGGGGGGTCATGTTTTAACGCTCATCCCTCCATCATCTCAGTCCTCAGACTGACATCACTCACGAGACACGTCATCACGACACGTACGCTATTCGTACATCCGGATAGACCGGGGCCAACAACTAAGACCTCTAGCAAAGTGGGAGACCTGTTATGCAGAACGTCATCCCCAGAACACGCGCCGGTGGGACAAAGGGTTATATCTGCCACGTCAGTCATGGTCTCATGGTCAATCAGCAGTACCCATCATTTAGAGAAACTACGGCAAAAAAACCTGAGATTATCCCAACATAAAATGCTGGAGGTGCACAGAGCAGGAGAAGCTCTCACGTGAAGTTTCCGGATGGCCTCATCGCAGCTTTCCTTCTTGGTGTAGTTCACAAAGGCACATCGCCTGTTAGGGAGCAGCTTGATATTGTGGATTTCCCCGGCTCTGCAAGGAAAATGAATGCAGAAGCGCATCTAAGGAGAAACGGACTACAGGTCGCAGCCGCTCCACCAAGCGGATCTGCAGGGAAACTGAAAAAAAGACTCTGCAAACTCAATGTCCTCAGCTGACGTGTCACGACAGGCTGTTACTTACGAGCTAAACAGCCCCATCAGCGTACTCTCTGTGATGGAAGTGCTGAGGTTCCCCACCCACACCGGAAACAGCTCTCTGTTGGGGAGATCATGCTTTAAATCGGCATTTTCGGCTACATTTCCCACCCAGTGAAGATTCGTTAGGCTGCCACTTCAGTTATAACCCCTGCCCAGCTCCATACCAGACAGTCCATATTTCTGCTCCCGGGTGCTGGGAGAGCCCAAAAGCATAGACTGTCTGGGGGGGTCCCCGAGAACCAGATGGGGATACACCGATCTACATCATGACCACTGGGGGGCGGAGTGCGGCCCGGAGGGTTAGGATGCAATGTCTGTGATTGGAAGGTTCAAATCCCAGGCAGCAGAGTGATGTCACCAGTGGGCCCCGGAGAAAGACCCTTAAACCCCAACAGCTCCAGGGACTCGACAAGTCAAGGGCACTTACACCTGCCCCTGGCCCCTGGAAGACGCCATCTTGGCCGCACTGTTAGCTTTGGCGACGGCTACATTCTTGGGGACAGGCGATGCCTTTTTTCTCTCATTCACGACCCATTCCTCTTCAACAGGCTGGCAGGTCTTAATGATGTCTGTAAAAGCCAGGGGTCGCTTTAGGGTCTCAGCCAAAAGCACGTCTCACATGTAAACACAAAGATTCAGTCCGTCAACATAAGAGAACCGTCACAGGACGATCATCACCTCTCCGCATTTCCGTGACAAATGACTGGAAGACGGACAAATGGATAAAGAAAGCACTGATTTTCTCTGTGGCCAGATGCACATGTATTCCTAATGTAATGACATTAATGTAATGCAGTGTGCTGTTCCTCGAACCTCAGGTATGCGTACCAGGAATACTGGACAGCACCTCGAGGGCCTTCTCCACGGTGCCGTGGATTATCAGGGCGTTGGTGCTCTGCTCTCTGGAGAAGCCCATCTCCTGCGGGGGGGGAAGCGGCGGTCAGGCCTTTGATAACCCGGAACCTACATAATGATTTCTGGAAACGGCCTCATACAAGCCTGCCACAGACAGATAAAAATTACCATAAGCTGCATTATCTGCACTTTCATCAGTTCCTGGGCGGCGTCACTGCTACTGCTGTCCTGCTTCAACACTTCCTTGAACACTAACAGGGCCTCGCCGTACCTCTGCAAGGGAGACAGGAAGGCAAGAGTCATATGATCTTGTTACACATGAATGAACTAATCAAAACACGCATATACTCATACTGTGAAGCTCACTGATTGGACATGACTAACTTGGTCGATTTACCAATATGAAGAGCTGTTAGAAACACGTATAGGGTGCACAGCCGAGAATGCTGAAAACGGCCGAGACTGTTAAATAGTTTGCTGAACAGAGTGAGGAACAAAGGAGGTGGTAAGGTCAACAGAGAGACAAGACTGATTCCGGGTTCGAGGCAGGAGTTAGACAAAGGATCCGGTTCTTTGAAGAAATTGAGAAGCATTGCAAAATATGTTTAGAGCAAAGTCCAGAGGTCACCCGCAGTGCACGTTGATCTGGGGAAGTACCAAAATACTTGCTAGGGGGAACAAGCCATGCTAAGATGGTGAAACCACTTTTCACCAATCAAAGTGAAATATATGGATGTTATGTGTCTCTAAAATGTATATAAACTGTAATCATTTGCAAAGGAGTGGGTGAAAATCTTAGATGTGAACCCCCTGTGCAAAGTGAATAAGCTAATCTAGCACTAAAACAAACTCCTCCCACCTGTCTGATTATTAACTTGAGACTGAGTCAAGGCCTGGTTGGGGGTCATTTCGTGAGCCCATATGTCTTGAACTGAACTGTTTGACAATTTCTGCTATAATTACTTTATTTTTTGCTCAGCCTTCAGTCGTGTTCTCTCCAGGACAGGGAGCGGCAGTGAGTTCGTCCATTGACCGATCTTTGTTTTTTTTAGTGTGCTGTCTCAGGGTACAGTGGGTGGTTTACATGTTTATGTTCTATGTTAACAGTTGGTCATGTTCTTCCATTATCAATGAATAAAAATTTGTAAATAAATACATAAAAAGGATCGGATACTTCTTCCGACACAAGACTGCTTATTACACCATTGAAGACTTCAAGTTGTCAATAGAATGATTAAGGCAACTTTTGTGCTGCATCCAGATAACACCTACCCTTAAGCCCCAGATCCCATCCCTACCCAGGCCAGTTATCTACAGGCAAAGAGCTTGTCCGTGGAGATCAGGTTACCTTGAGCCCAGTGAGGGCCCTTCCCTTCCTGTAGAAGCCTTTTATCCAGTTCGGGTTCATGGTGAGCGAGATCTCGGCGTCTGTGAGAGACTTGTCATACTGCTGCATTTTCTCATAGCAGAAGGAGCGGTTCCCGAACAGCCTGGGACACACGGACAGAGAGACTGACTGAAGCTCATGGGAGACTCTGACCCAACATGAATCACAACCAGCCTATCGTCTAGCTCAGCGACTCCCAGTCTGGTCCTCGGGGACTCAGACAGTCAACATTTTTGCTCCCTCCCAGCTCCAGAGAAAAAATGTACACTGTCTGACAGGGAACTGGGAGGGAGCAAAAACATAGATTGTCTGTGGGTCCCCAAGGATCAGACTGGGAAACCGTGATCTAGAACCATTAAACATTTCTGACAGGCTCAGAAAATGTATTTTTTTAAAAACATACAAAGGAAACATACAAATTTTTTTTTAAACAAAGGAACCAGTTTATTCAAGTGTACTAGAACGGCACTGGGAGTCAGGGTGTCACTGGGGAACATGAACATCTATATGTAGGCATCTGAAAGGCCGGCATGTGGGGTCTTTGTGACAAACCACGAGTGGCCGTGTTGGCAAACACAGGTTCATTCTCCGTAACAGCTTTTTAAGAGCTTCTGGCACAGACGTCGCCAAGTCACGTGAGAAAAGCGACTTCAGCCAAACACCCCTCAGCAGAACCATACCAGTTCGGTTTGGTGCTCTACATTGGGGGTCCTGTTCACGATGGGCCCATTTGACATTTCATGTCTGAACTGCTCAAATCATACTGCAGACACTCAATGGATACTCCGCAGACCACTAGTAAAACCTCAATGTCCTTCAACCAAAGCTTTTTACCATTTATATAATGAATTCATAGTGTACACAGTGACTCAATGTTCTTTATGACTTATGCAACAGTTACATGCAAGTTTTATGGTGACATGAACTGGGCTTATATAACTTGAAGGGCACCTCCTTACCGATACTCCTTGGGGTTAAATTTGATGGCATCTGTAAAATACTTCACTGCCTGGACATAGTCTCCGATGCCGGCCAAGGAGTTTGCCGCGTCTGAGGAAGGGAGACAGGAAATGAGCTTTTCTACCTTTCCAACTTCAACTCCAGCAAACCAGCACGCTACACTTCGGATGCTCACTGGCTAGCTGTATGCTCTTTGCAACCATGTCCTCCGTGTCGGACGGTGCCTCATTCTGCAGAGAGAGCCGACAAAGAGCGTCCGTGAGTATCCCAGACAAAGGACCGGCCCGCACACCCGATGCCGTTAGAATACCATTGTTACGTATTGATTAACATCTTCAGTACTTTGTACATCCACCACACCATACATACTGCTTTACGGCAGAGCTACTGAACAGAGAGGAGGAATGTTCAGTTCAGAAAGTACCAAGATTTCGTTTCAACTAGCCAGTTGAGCATGAAGAGGTGGAACAAAACCTTGGTCTGGATTTGTACCATCTGGACCTGAACATTTTACCCGACTGAATAACCATCACCATGCTGACCATTAAAACTGAAAGGATGCTGCGGACAGAGAGACAGAAGCGGTATCAGGTTTGCGGTTGTTTTATCGTTACCTGTGAAGCTCCCTGACTCTGCCACTCCTGTGACTCTTTCCGTGGGTTTGAGGAAGGCATCTTCTTTTCCCTTTTCTCAGGTTTAGGCTTGAGGTCGATTTTACGCTGTGCTATAGAAGCCGCTTTCGACACAAAGGTGCTGGTCATATCCAGTTCCTGGTCAGATGAAAAAAAAATTTCAACGTTCACTCAGGATACGTTATTCTAGTGACCATCAAAAAAACTTGCCGATGCCATGACATATATTGTATGTTACTCATATTCTACTTATACTTCAAATACCGGCAGCCAAAATAGGCTGATAAACAGGGGAGAGCCAAGCACAGAGTATTCCGTACCTCCAGGTCACTACCATCCCCTTCTTCGTTATCCACCTCGTTAGCTACTTCTCTGGCCTGTGCAGGTACTGATACATCACCACCACGCGGTTCATTAGGTGGACTATCTTCCGGTTTACTCTCTGCGGCGTCTGCTTTAGAGCACTCCTGGGGAAACAGGAAAATCAGCAACGAGGCTGCGAAGGCGTGCACCCAACAAGAAAATTATCTGGACTGTTCCGCGATAAGATCCCTCCTAGGAACAGGTGGCACACCTGAAATGATATTTACCTACCAGTCCTGCAGATTAACCTTTAACGTACACAAACGTTTAATTCAAAGGTTTCTAACTACAAAGTCATCGCTTACCTCTGCATCCGAACTCTTAGCGTCTTTTTCATTGTCCTTTAACTTTTCGAGTCGTTTTCGTTCTTTTTGCCTCTGTTTGGGTAGAGCATACGCATAATATCAAATATTCAGTAAGACACAGTTTAAAGGACAAAAAAAACTCAATCTATAAATATCCAATTTACTAAGAAGAAAAAAATCAAGTCAGGTAAATAATTTTTTTGTTAAAACTAAATGTGCATGCGCAGTTTCTTTTTAAAGACTATGGGAAAGGTACAGTTATGTGATTAACCACTCGGCATGGCAACTCAATAGCGCCCCCTTCCTTCCGTTCATAGCGCTGCTCACCATTTTTTTAAGCCTCTTCTTTTCTGCCTTGTCCTTACACTTCTGCTCCTCATCCGCCAGTTCTTTGGCTATTCTGTCGGCCTCCTGGGACAGCAGAAAAGGACCTGCATTCTCATACCGGGCAAGGTCATAAGTCTCCCTGCTGGCTCGGATCGCTTCTGACAAGGCTAACACAGTTAGCAAAGGACAAATTTGCTGGACAGCCTATCACCGTGGCGACCGACTGCAAGGTCAGCCTGAAAAGGCACTAATGGAGGCTTTTTCTCCCCACTGCACCCATCTTTAAAACAGTCCTCTAAAACACAAGTATTTTTTGTACAATAAACAAAAAACACAGCCACGAGGAAATATTTTGGACAAGTTATATTACATTTAAAAAGCATTTAACACAGTACAGTTATCAGTCCACATCACGTGTAATATTTGCTGAACGTTATCTGTGGTAGAAAGACAAACATTTCAATGAAAACGCCAAACGGAGGGTTTGATGAGTGCCACACACACACACACAAACTGGGTTGGGGGTCAAACCTCCTTTGCGTTTTCCTTCGCTGTCACATTTAACCCCCGCTGAAACAGACGGGACTGGCTCAGGCCAGTTTGCTTCAACCCCCCGCGATCTAGAAAGTTCTTGCTGAATCCACAGTAGGGCTTCCCGCCGTCGTCTTCGTCGCTCTCTGTAAAATCATCATCTGGATAATATCCGTTGATATCTAAAAATACAACAGGGGGATGTGCTTTAATGACCTTCTCCTCTATATCAAGGCGTCCACACTAATTGTGAATATTTGTACATGGATCCTAGTAGAGATGGCACAATATTTTACCTGGTTCGATCTCAAAACCAATATTAACATTTTAAGTATCTGCTGATACCAATCCGATATTTTTTCCCTTCAAAGTATTAAATGAGATATTTGTATCAATACATTTCAATTAACATCGCAAACTATGTGCATTTAGTGCTGTACCTGCATTGTTTGAGTGTGTTAAGAAAAATGCTAAAAAATTCAGACATCAGACTTTTCTTGTATATATATTTCTTATTTATTTATTAGTAATGACCTGTTCCCTCTATGTATGGAGGCAACAAAACAAACACTTAATAATATGAATTAATATAGGCTACTTATTTTTCAGTAGACAATTATAACACAGCCCATGTATGTGACCCAGCCCAACTGCACTGCACACAGCCCATGTATGTGACCCAGCCTAACTGCACTGCACACAGCCCATGTATGTGACCCAGCCTAACTGCACTGCACACAGCCCATGTATGTGACCCAGCCTAACTGCACTGCACAGCCTTTCTATGTAATCCAGCCTAACTGCATTGTGCACAGCCTACCTGTGTACATGGAACCGCACACTGCTTTCTCATTTATGCAAATCTGTCAAAGTTAGGGGCTTTGTTATGGGAAGTGATTCTGATTTGTGAACTCCCAACTGACATCGATGTAGTGAATAAAGGGGATGAAGCCCCCCCTTCTCAAACACGCAAATCTGTTACGGTTTTGCATTCACACTGTAGTTGTGTCACAAAGTTACCGCTATTCCCACACGACGACATAACAGTAAAACAGCGAAATATAAGTGCCTCACTTTTGTTTACGGTATGTCGTGCTAAGGCTCCAAGCATTTTCATGATTTTTCAGGCTGGACCTCTCTCTGATGGAAAATCATATTGGTTTCTTACTCCCCCCTGGTACGCGATCCAGTATTTTTTGCCAGTATCAGTACAATACCGATAGTGGGTATGGGATCAGGGTCATCTCTGATTCCCAGTACCTGAGGATCCAACACTAATGCTGGCAGCGGTTTGACAGCCTGCAGATGCAGATTTCGTGAAGCCTTCTCGCTATTCAGCTCACAGCAATTAAGCATTCAGTCGCTCATTCAATGACTGGCTAAATGATTCGGTTCTGATGGGTGACAGGAGATCAAAGACAGACCAAAAAGCGGCCGAAGAGAATATCAAACTATTAGCAACGGGTAAACATCCCCCACTTACCGAAAAAGGTAGGAGAGGGATCCAGGAAGTATGGGGTTTGCATGAGCATTCTATAATCATCCTACAGAGGGAAAGAGCAGAAGAATGAGTCATCAGGCATTGCTGGCATAATTAAATCTAGTGCAAATAAGCACCTACATTTTCAAATGTCATGTGTAATCAAGAATCACAAAATATCCAGCACTGTCTAGATTATATTACTTGTACTACAGCCTGCAAAAAATCAGAATAACACAAATATAGAGACAACTAAAAGAAAAATACAAGACGTGAATTTGTTAAGATTGAAATACTTACTAACAATGGATGTAAGCGAGGATGATTCATGCCTACAGCACAGGAGAGAAAAGAAACCATTCAGGACATGGAAAAGTGACTGAGTACTCAGGAAGCCACCAGAAGGAAGCGGGAAACTGAAACTTAACTCACCCATGCTCTGTAAATACCAAATAGAAGGAGGTGCAATACATTTGTTTTGTTTATGACTTGTTTTATTTGGTTTCACTGAACAAGCCTAAGCAGGCAAACCAGATCGCCTTGCTGTGGTGAACCACCCTTGCACTGCCAACACCAGAGTTCCTGGTGAAAGGATGCATTCACAACACAAGTAGAATGCAATGCCAGTGATTTCATCATATTTTGGAGTAGTCCTACTGGGAATTATACTAGTCTCCTATCTACTACATACTGGTGAAATAGTCTGCGACATATCAAACTCTCTCTGGGTATGACATACGTTAAGTGCATTCATTGCAGCATATGTCCTTTCTAAGTTGAGCAATACTGACTAATTTGCTGAGTTGAATTATTATTTTTGCACTGATTTAACTTTGTGCCACTGATTGAATTCTAATTCTCAATCAGGACACCGTTTATTCATACCGACATGGTACTGCATCATCAGACTGATACGTTTAGACAGACCTCAGATACATATTATCATGCAAGAACACAGAAGTGCACAGTCATACGTGGGACACAATCTCAAGGCAACAGAAGCTGTTCTACCTGAGCTTTGACTAGGCTCTGCGCGATACTGCAAACAATTCACAATGTGAAATTTGATATTTTTGCGGTAAATATTACAATATTTATGAAACAACTTCAGTTGTGTCGACACAAAGCAGTGATGACAAATCACTTGATTTTCCTCAATATCATCTCTATGGAACCTGAAACATTTCCATGCAGCAGCAGATTAATTCAATTCAATTTTATTTATATAGCACATTTTCACAACATTGCATTGTCTCAAAGTGCTTTACACTATCTTTGCCCAAAGCAGCCATATCTTTGAATGATATAAACAGTAAGGATAAAAAACATTAATTGGCTCGGAGAGAGCACATGCAGAGCTCACGCAAAAGCAGTGATGACCAACTATATATAGATTCTGTAAAATTTCAGGGTTTGAATTTCAATGTGGGACTGCAGATATCACGCAGAATTTCATTGATTTCTGCAAGTCGAGCACTTACAATGTGGGAATTTCTCGCACACATTTACAGCAACGTCTAATAATGTTCAGCCATGTTTTGCGTCAGTAGCCAATGCGCACACTCTCTCTCTATGAATTAGACCGTTGTTATTAAGTGGAAAGGGATGAAGCAGAGGAGACAGTGCAGGGAAAGAAGAGAGAAGGGAGACAAGAAGGAGTCACCAAAAGAAAGACTAAAGGTGATGACACACAGCACAACTTCTTCAGCAATGTCGCCTTGCAGTTGTCAACCAGGTGAGACAAATGGCATTTCATCTGCATCTAGATAATTCCAAAAAAATTGCCCAATGTTGATGAAATTATTTCAATTGTGTTGCCCAATATCGATAGGGAAGTGTCTAAACAACTGTCAGCAACAATTCCAGGCAGCACTGCTCAAAAGGCTGCCTCGTGTGTCATCACCCTTAGAATACTGATGCAGCTCAAAGAGACGACCACTAAGAGAGAACGAGAAAGACAACAAATTACAATAATGTATATAATTCACAGAATCCCTTAAATTGGAGAAGAGTGACAAAATGCAATCTGAGATATGAACAGGACAAAGTAAGATCTGCGTTTAAACTCAGAAGCAGTATCCCCACTCCCCAAGTTATATAAATCCCACTCGTGAACCATTTAAGGTGGGAGAAACCTCTATTTGGAAAAATGAATTTCAAGCCCTGTACTAGATAATCCTGAAAATGGACAATCATTAAAATTGCATAGCTCACCAAGTGCTGTTTCCTGAGTAAAAATATTTTAGCATAACTAATTGATGGCCTCAATCCAGCTGTCATGGTCCTTGCGATGCAGTAACTATATGCATAACATGCAATGTCAATATTAACACTGCACACTGAGAGGCTCTAATTTTGACAAGCTTATCTAGGCACAGTTATGTCAAGTCCTGTGACAGCAATATGAGAAACGTGAAATGGATGCACACCAATCCACAGACCAAACCAGACAACTACTAAAGGCACAACATTATTTATATGTGATACTTCTATTTTTAGAAGAGTTTACAATAATTATGCATGCTTAATTATACAATGTTTTTAAAGCAAATTCATGACATCAACTCCCAACTTTGTCAGTCAGAGTGAGTTCAAAGTAAAAGCAATCCTGACGAGGACTGGGCGATACAGCAAAATATGTGATCATTGATATTTATCACAGTATAATGGATGACTCATTATTTTCAATAATAATAATTAGATATTTCTTTACTTTGAAGCGCCATTTATGCTTAGAATTCCTTTAGGGTTCCCCTAAAACAGAACATGAAAAAGAATGGACAGTAAACTGAAATCTAAATCTAAACAAATATGGAGCAGAACACTAATTGCTGGTGGCTGTGACTAAGTGCTTGCATTCTGGATGTTCTATTGGAGAGCAATGCTTCAAGTGGTGAAATAAATTCATAGCATTTCCACTTTTTGGTTGGCACAAGTATTCAACAAGGCTTATAATGCCCAGCACCAGTCTGTGACGTGTGGCGGACTCCTTTAAACTGCCAGCCAAACCATCGACATCTTTCTACCTGGTTTATCCACATCTCATTTTCAAGAAGAAGTTGCAGCTGCTGACACCAACACTGAAGTTCCCTCCAAGGGAGCCCTTCTCTCTCCCATGACTCAGGTGTATTACAGGGTGCTCTGCTAACTTAAACCTCGCTGTGCATTTGTTGTGTATACATTGTCCATTCTCAAAACGCTGACTGGCGACAGGCAAGGTTATTTTAGTCAGCTCTGACAAAATCCCGCTGCTGACTTTCTTCCTAGCGTTTACAAATTCTCTATACTTCACTACTCTGGATTTCTCCTGGACTGAATTTTACCGTTTCCTTTTGCTGGATTACCCTGATTGGACAAGTTGCTTTGGACTTACCTGCTCTACCGCTGAGATGCTCTGTTATTCTGATTGTGTCGTCTGTCGTCGTTTGTTCAATAAATCCCCCATTTGTGTTTTTACGCCTTTGACTGTAGTTGTGCTCCATTGCTGGTCCTGACAAGCAGTCACAAAGACAGTGACATCATTTCAAACTGATCTTTCACGGAGCGTTTGTCATATCAATAGAGCAAAATTATACCGTGATAATTATTGTCATATCGCCCAGCCCTAATGCTAATTTAAACCAGTAGATGCACCCATCGATTCATAAACCCAGTGGCAATACACAAACATCATGAATTATTACTGAAGAGGGAACAACAGATACTTAGTCATACCATTTGACCTCATTTCTCAAAATTTGTTACCAGCATGAAGCTTTCTATACGATCTTCTGTGGCTATACTCTTAATTATCACAAAAATCACCTCGAAAGCAGTTATTATACATCAACAGGATGCAATCAGAATTAAGGAGTGTTGGATTTAGTCTGATTATAAAGTTCCATTCAATAACAAATATTTTATAGTTAAGTACCTTCAAAGTCCTTTGTGCTTTACGTACTTGGGACACAGAGGGATAATGAACATCGAAGCGGGACATGACGTGTCAGCTAGGAGCGTTTTTCAGACACATGGGTTTTGGTGGTGTGGTGTGGTGGGGGGGTTCCTTCCTTCACGATTGTTGTAACGACGGTAACGACTCACGCTAAAAGCATCGTTTACCTTTTATCTTGCAATTTTAGCTATTTTTTTTTAAATTGGTAATGCAAGTGCGTTAAACCTGTTCATCATCTTACTTCTGTTCTTCCACGGCTAAGGCTAACGCAACACAGACACAATCGGTCGTAACTCAGCAAGTCAGAACACTTCCCACTAAACATTACCACATCATAATCATACCTTGGTTTCTGAATGCACACCACCAAGCGAAATGAAAACACAGCAAAAATCAACCAGTTATGTCACAGTGAAAGAAAACAGGCCCAGTTAAACCAGAATGTTTTAATAAGAACCTTAACGCTGGCTGAATAGGGTCCAGGCATTTTTAGAAGTATTATATTCCGCGACTTACCGAAATTAGCTAACATCACACCGGATATTGCTTTTTTTTTAATTAAAATTAAGTTAAAAACAGGGTTATCCTTACCCGGTCCGAAATTTCCCCTGTAAGACATGTTGGCCTTTTGTAAAATAAAACTTGTTTCTTCTAAACACAAACTGAATGATTGAATTAAACACAAAAAGAGTGGCGCTTTTTAATTAAAATAAACCCGTAGGGTTCTTTTAAGTTTAAAAATATCTTAGTGTAGCCACTTTTTGCTTTTCTTTTTCCCCCTCTTCGTCTAGTCCTGACCGCGCATGCTCGAAACTTCTTCGACTGGCCTGCGCATGCTCAAACGGCCACGACTGGTGTGCGCGTGCTCAGCTGGAAGTTACGGGAAGCGCGTGGCGAATGAACGCGAAAGTTACCCGATTAAACACACTTTTGGTGCAAGCACCGCTGATTGCTTTTGCTCTGAATGCATTATAAAGAAACAAAATAGTACACTGGGTAGTGTGCTTTTGGGAATTGATCCCAGTGATCATATATATAGTTGGACCTTGTGGCTATTTAACGTTAGTTGCACCACAAGAAACTAGTTAAATCATTCGACCGCTAGCTTTGATTAAAAACTTAAATAAATTTAGTCTTTCATACTGTAATTTTCGATTAGTTTTATTCAGACTTTAATTGATTATTTTGAAAAACATCTCAGTTTTGCAATAAAGATTATTTTTCCAAAAAGAAGACATCAAAAGGCACTACTACTAATTACGTGTAAGCGGGCGATCAGTCTGTTATAGCATTTCAAATATCCCGAAGCTTAAGATTTTTTAAAGTATTTTTATTGCATGGCCAGCGATAAGTGGTAGTATTGCATTTCATTAGAAAAAAATCTTAAGCCCTCTGCCCTTTTCTGGGTGGGGGCTGCAATTGTCCCTGCGGCGGTCCTCCTGGGGTTCCCGTGCCCTGTGGGGCCTCTGGATGTCTAGGGCCCAGGTCTCCTCCGTGTCAACTTCATGACCTGGGTGGGCGGGGCTGTGGCTCCCCACACACACTACTAGACATTTACATGGAGAAACCTTAGGAACACCAGCGCGCTGACACACACAGGTGTGCACACAGGTGTTCATGGACGCATGCTCACGGACACACACTGTCTTGATCGGCTGTTGCTTCTGGGCATGTGTTGTAAGGCTGGTTGTGCGTGCTGTTCAACAACATTTAACGTTTGGTGGTCGTTGTGATTAGTACAGATGTTGTATGTTGTCTTTCTCTTTTCAGCAGACATGGAAGCAGATTATCTGTTTTGTTTTTTTCTTTTCTCTCCTCTCTCTCTCCCTCTCTCTCTTTCCCCCTTCTTCTCCTTTGTTTCCCCCCTTCTCTCTCCCTCGCCTTCTCTTGAGGAAGTAAATAAAAATAAAATAAATAAATAAATAAAATAAAAATAAATAAATAAAGTAGTCCTCCGCAGAGGGGGGGTGGTGGAGGGAGTTTAAAAAAAAAATAAAAAATTCTTAAGCAAGAAAAGGAAATGAAAATGTAACCTTGAACAGAGATTATAGGTACAGTATGTGGCTGTTGAGATTAGGACAGCAAACCACAGTCGCTGAAGGAGAGTTCCTAAATAAAATGTAAATGTAGGATATGGAATTGCCGTGAGTGTAGTCTAGCTTTTATTTTATGAATGCCTGATTGCACCCCTAGTGGCACTCTTCTGCCATATAGATAAATATGGCTTAATGTGGATAATAGTCACTTCAAATGGAACCTTTTAATTATAGTCTTCATGAAACTGTACATAGTAGAGTTTTTTTCTTTGCTGGATTAGGAGACTGCTGCCGCTATATAACATGGGAAATGTTTAGTAAGGGCAAATTTACATGCATCCATCCATGTTCTGTAACAGCTTGGCCTATTCAGGGTTGAAGGGGGTCTGGAGCCTGTCCTGGAGGCTACAGGCGCAAGGCAGTGAATAACCCAGGGTGGGGCACCAACCCATCACAGGGCACAAGGCAGGGAACAGCCCAGGATGGGGCACCAACCCATCACAGGGCACAAGGCAGGGAACAGCCCAGGATGGGGCACCAACCCATCACAGGGCACAAGGCAGTGAATAACCCAGGGTGGGGCACCAACCCATCACAGGGCACACACACCGTTCACACCTATGGGCAACCTGGCAACTCCAATTAGCCTCAGCATGTTTTTGGACTGTGGGGGGAAACCAGAGTACCTGAAGGAAACTGCACAGCGACATGAGTAAAATGGGCAAACTCTCCACACATGGAGGTATGGTGGAGATTTGAACCCAATTCCCAGAGGTGTGAGATGACTGTGCTGACCACTGCACCACCCCTAGGGGCAAATCTGCAATTGCTAATTCAATACCGCAGTAGGTTTGACTGACATAATACCGTGGTGTTCCACTGTCTCTGTCCTGCGCTGCCCAGGAATGACTTCCAGAACATTTCCCCCATTAGCCATTACAATCTGCTAAATAAGCAGTGAGAAGATGGATTTATGGAAGGCAGGACTGATCTGCCAATTAAATGTTGAACCATTTAGACCTTTAAATTCATTTGAAATTTGCATGGCTTTCAGTATGGGCATCCAATCACTGGGGGCTATAATCGTGAGGATTTTAGCTCCTATGCCAGTCCTACCTTAAAAAAAAAAGTCAAGCCCCAGGTAAACTGGACTTTGCCCCTGATTTTTTTTAATGACTAGAAACACCACTGGGTTGCAGTCTATTCCTGTTCTTTTTTATTATTGTTATATATATACATATATAACTAGTGCTGTTCATATTCATGCAGCATTATTCCTACACATTAATACTTCACGTTAATCCCTGAGTGTGCCCTGTAGCCGGATAGGCTCCGGACCCCCCCACGACGTCCCTGAATGGGACAGGCAGTTACAGGTGCTCATCCCTGCGGGGAAATTATCTTTTTGCACATCCCATCTTGCTTGCCTTGAAGCACACAGACACCCGTACAAGTGAGAGCGATTCTGTGGGTCACTGTACAGTCAGACAGTGTCCAGCAGCCCAGAGCAGTTCAGGCAAAGGGCATGCTTAAGGGCAGCATAACTCTTCCAGAGCATTTGAACCAGCGACCTTCTGATTAGAGGCCTAACTTGCAGAGACACACAACCAAAGGCAAATAGTTGGTATTCCCTGAACAGGGCTGTGGGGGTAATAGCACCAAATCCTAACCACTAGACCCCCAGGGACCCCTGTGCCAACTGGATTTTTTTTTAAGTTTACAAATAGGATTAACCTCAATTTATCATGTAATGAAAGTATACTGAATAATATTAAACTGTAGGATAGTCCTTCACCTTTGCTGTTCCTATAGTTGCAGTACCCACACTACGCAATAGAGGGCGTATTTGGATTACATTTAAATATTGAACCCACGGTAAGCGTTAAGTGGAAGACGGTTATGACTTTAGCCTGAAAATCTGAAAATCCCAAATATGGTTGTGTTATATGACTTTCTTATAAAACATTTCTTGGTACGACCCACATATTCAGCCATTTTCTATATAACATATGTTTGTTTTTAGGAATATCAATTATCCATCAGGGTTCTGGAAACTCATTTGAGACTCTGAAAGGGCAGGGCTTTCACCCTGCTGTGCCCAGTCTGTGTCATAAGCTCTTCCACAGCCATAGATGGAAGCAATCAAACTACCTTACCGCAGGAGTCTCACTGCAGTCATGCTTTGCCTAATATCACAAATATTAATATTTACAACACATGGCTTCTGTCTATGCTCTCTCAACAGTTTGTTAGATTTAATTAATTCAGCGAAATATGGACTTATTTTGTAAAATGTCTCCATCCATCGGATCAAAATAAATCCCAGGTTGCTCGTAGTTCGCACAGCTGGGCTGATATCACATATCATCGTCGTTAGGTTCCTCTGTGACATTGAGTCATATAATGCAGTAGAATTCCAGCACGATTCACTGCCTTCCAGTGGGAATGAACAATTTCCTGGGAAAATTATCCATCGTATCACGCTGATAAATCACAGATAGACTGTTTCACCATCCATATCATGGCCACGTGTCTGTTCATTAAGTGCCATGTGGCCAAAGGTTCACTGGTTTGTTTTTCTTTCTGGTCAATGAAATTAGCTCCCGTGTGTACAATTAAGACATTTAAAACATTATTTACGCTCCAATTTTTACGAACGAAAAAGGTTGGCCCTAAAATAGCGTACATATGTGTAGCTGACCTGACGAGCTAGGTCATTTTAGTCTAGGTCGTCCAGTTTAGGCGGTTTTTGGGCATGGGGGGTGCAACATTCTTTCCTATGTTAAGGATACAGCTAATAACATATTTTCAGTGGTCGTCTTGTTCCGAAAGCAGCGCCACTCTTTCCAAAATGTTGAATTTGTTATTTCAGAAAAAAACTAAATTACAGCTTTGAATATAATGTCAAAGGATAATGAATGTATGCCGTAACTGCTCACAGGCTGAGAAAATAACATGCTATTTTGTCTCTTATTATTGACAGTTGTGTTTCTGCAAAGATGTGGTTTTCCCATTCGAATTGTATATAGATTGGCATCATTACTGGATATGGAAAATCAGCCAAGGTAGTCATTTCAAATGAAAAGATGAAGAAAATCACATGGAATATGCATATATATTTGTCTTGTTTTGGGACGGTAGTATACTTAAGGCCTCTTTAAAATCACTGTTAATGTCACAAAATCAGTGTATTCTGTTGCCTATTGCTACTCTAAAATAGCAATCCTGCAGTTTTTGTCACTTAGAATAGGGACAACTATGACTAACAATGTTCTTTCTAGGAGCTGAATTGAAAGGGAGGTGCTTTTGGAAGGTGATCGCTGGCCGGACTGCATATGATACTAACAGTGGATGATCGGTGGGTTCCATCACCCAATCGCTACGTTCATCCTCTCTCAAACTGTGGGCCGATACATTGGCGCCTAAATGGCTGAGCGTTACCTGTCGGAACGGGTTTTTTCGTGACGTCGCTTCACCTTATCTGTACCCAGCATCTGGAATTTCAACGATAACATGTGGGACACATTACTCATGCTATTCTATTAGATAGCCTGCCGGTCTACTGGCTACGTTCTAAAGCGTAATTAGCTCAAAGTGGCCTGATTCTTAGTCCCTTCTGTCAGTACCAGTAAGTGTTTATGAGACAGGCTTCTAACTTTAAAATGTTTTGAATAAAGGGCTGTTTTATATGGTCCATAAATTGATTATTATGCAGTAGGGCAATATCCCCTCTAGGTGAGTCCTGCATTCGTACCGTCTGGGATGGATTTTGGATTCCTGCAACCCTCAAGTGAAGGTTTTTGTATTATTATTATTATTATTATTATTATTATTATAAGCCGCCTACAAAGAGAATGATAGAGTGT